ACATTTAAAGTTGATATTGGCATTTAGCTGTTGTGATTGCAGGGTTGGATTTTATAATGCTGCTCCTTAGCTGGTCTCACAGCCTGTTTGGATTCAACACGAGTCTACTGAATGAATTGGATCTCGCTGAATGTCAGGAAAAGTTACCTCTTAATGCCTTCAGGTTAATGATGTTTGAAAGGTACAGTCGTCAGATTTCAAGTTGCTCCTGTTGTCCTTTTGGTTTGGCGTCCCTCCATTTTCTGCTCACTTCATTCTCCCCAGATATTAGATGTCATTGAGCACCGCTGAGAGGTGAACAGGTCAGGTCAGCCCAATTAAAAAATACTTTATTTGATAGTGCAGCTCGGTGGTAATGTGGCATTAAGAGACTTAAACTGGATTTGGTTTTATTGCTTTGCTGTACTGCAGTGTGCCAGTTGGGTTAGATGATGAATTTAAACTGTTATATTATGGGTAACATTTACCAAGTGTACATACTCTTTCTTTTTCTTCCCTTTTATACTGTTGCATGCTATGTTACTGCATTTGGGTTTGTGGCTTCTTGCTATTTAATTAGATCAGAGTACAGTCTTTCTTTGTAAAGAGTTAAACTAGTAAGAGTTGAACAGGTAATCTTACCAGGGCTGCAACAATTATTGTCATTGTTGATTACTTTTTTGATTAATTGTTGGTTTATAAAATGGCAGAAAATAATGAAAGTGAGCCAGCCCACATTCCCAAAGCACAAGTTGACATTTTCCCAGTGCCTTCCTAGTGGGGAAGCAAAACAGATGGGAAATATCAGATATAATAAATTGCTATAAAAACACAGCCAATTTCTAACTCTAATTTACCATTTTCCAAAACACAGTGAAATATCATCTCGCAATATCGCCCAACATCTTAGTTTGTTTAACTTCACTCTGCTCCACTCTCCTCGGCAAAACCAGTATGTTGGCATGACTACGCATCAATGTGGACTCAGAATATTAGATTCAGGTGGATACGCTGGCCTCAAGTGATTGGTTACGGAAAACTGAAGATGGGAATTGGATGTAACGAGTCGACAGATATGTCTGATGTCATGCAGCCATTGACATCATTTAGTCATTATTCATTCTCTTTTCTGGAATCAAACAAAAAGTTCAGTAACACAGATTGTATATAAAGGATGGATGTCATTGTAGCTCTCCAAAAGTGAAGCCAAAACGTCTTGTTCGTCCCCTTGTGGCTGGCTACAGCACAGGTCAGATCAAAGTACATGTCAAATAAAATGTTCCTAAAGAAAGTTTCTGTTTTTAGGTAGTTCTTATCATGTCGCTATATGTTCAGGTTTTTGTTTTTCTGATAAGTTTGGTTTTTAGCTAGTGATTTGATGCTATAAAACAGGGGTGTGACATCATGATTGACAGCTGTGTGTCAGTAGGTGTGCTCTCAATCAGTGCTGTTGTTCCCGATTGGGTTGGATGGGTAATGGGCGGAAACTCGGTATTGCGGCTTCACTTCCTAATCACCACTGTGCAGACTCTTGCTCCAAGAGTGTGAGATAGCAGCGCCTGTTTTTTTGTTTTGGCTTCATTTTTGTACAGTGGAAGGAAGCAGTGACGTGCCGTCCATCTTTATACATTAGTCAGTAATATCCTGTTGAGAAAATAAAGATATATTTGAGATAACAATGAACACTGGAGAGACCCTGCGATAAGCTGAAACTTTTTCTGACACCTGCGATTACAGGAGCGAGTAGACGCTGCTTTATTTTAAGAGGTCACATTTCACAGCATATTTCCATCATCACACCATATATAAGAAACTTAATGTTACGCTCGCCAAAAATCATGAAGTATGTATTTAATCAACCAATAACAAGTACAGCCATGCTTTAACACATTGTTGGTGAGGCATTCAATGACCTGAGAGGCTTTGAATGCTTGTAATAAATCTCCAGTCCATCGTCAATAGTTCTGGCTGGCTAGAAGTATTGATCATGAAATGAAATGATACAGGTAGATGAGGAAGTATGCAAAATTGATGACCATGAAAAGTTCAGCCATGAATGATTTTTCTCATCTGAAAAACATATCGACTGTTCAGGACTTGCTAATTATGGTGCTCACAGTGTGAAAGCACAGTCACCACACTCTGTGGATGCAACAAATGAGCCTTTTATTTATTATCAATAGATTTTTCTAAATGATTAATTAGCCACATAGTCTGTGAATGTTAAGAAATGATCAGAGCTCAAAAAAATGTCCTTCGTTTAAAGCCAGAAAATCCAAAGTAATCATTTTGATCGATAATACTTTAGGGATAAAAATATATCCATATGCTACTGACACCTGTTGATCTTCATAACCTAATTTCGTGAAAGTGACCAATCTGACTGTAGCTCTCATTCCTGTTTGTGCTCATGAAAAAAAGAAAATCGAATTTTTATTTTCAACTTGTGTAAAGTTTCTGCCTATTACTACACAAACAGCCTTTTTTTGACAAAGTGACACGAAATGTAAAAAATATAAATATCTTTTAATCCCTTAAAAGAGTGCTCCAGTGATTCAGCATTGCATTCTTATACATTGTCAGATTCACAGTGGACATTTTAGAAAATATACTGAGATATCATGTTTTTTTCCACTAATTTTTCTTTCTTGTCAAAACCTGTCACCTACGTTACCCACAATACAACTCGATTGCCGACAGCTCAGTCAGAGATTCAGGTGTGTTAATGCAAGTAATGGCTAATGTAGCCCTGAGCTGCACCTCAATAAAAGATGAAATGCACACAACAGAGCTCGCCAATCCTTGTGGTCTTCAGCTCCAACTGATGCTGAATTAAGTGACATCACCTGATTTATCAGAATTCACACAGCTCTCTCTGGAGACACAAAAGACTTTCCTTAAAAATTATGCCAACACACAAATGCAAAAAACTGCAGTTCTTTAAACAGCCACTTGTAGGCTGGCTCTGAAAGCCCGCCGTAGACACCAATGCCAAAACGCCCAACTCCACAGTAGAAATAAACACGTTTACAGCCTGAACAGTAAACGGCCCTGGCCTCCATAGTGCCCAGAATCATACATTCGAAAACAGTATGCTTACCTTGGGGAAGTTATAGATTTCCTCATGCACCAGCTGGAAGAACCTAGAAGACTAAAAGGCAACAAGTGGATGAACAACAAATGCTTGAAAATGGGATTCGTGCAAACAAGGACAATATTAGTTTGATTTTTGCAGCTGTGGACCGTCAATCCTCAGCCATGGATCGTTCAAGGCAACTGAACTGTAGGCAGTAGTTTGTTTGTTTTTTTAAGGCATTTTTTTGGGGGCATTTTTAAGCCTTTATTTGATAGGACAGACAAATGTGAAAGGGGGAGAGAGAGAGAGAGAGAGAGAGAGGGAGTGACATGCAGCAAAGGGCAACAGGCTGGAGTCGAACCTGGGCCGCTGCGGCAACAGCCTTGTACATGGGGCGCCTGCTCTACCACTAAGCCACCAACGCCCCACCATAGGCAGTATTTTGCGCTAGGACCTGAATTTATCACTTGGCATGTAGACTCTTATGACAGTGGAAAACCATACAGAATCTGCACCAGTGGTTGCAAAGATTGCTTTTCCCGAAAAATCATAGTTGAATACTTCACACACGAGCAGCGGCCTACATGTCATAGATGTAAGACACTGAGTGAATTTCCAATCAACTATTTTTGTCACTCATATGTTGGCATTTTTAGGATTTGGTACATCTCTAATGATGTGACCAGAACTCTGTTTAATGTGTACCAGCAAGAATAATTTCCTTGATTTATTGCATAATAAACAGCTTCACTCCAAAAATGACAACCATCTCTGTGGTGACAGCAAGGTTATGGACCCAAAATGCAGACAGACCGAGGGAAAAGGGTTTAACAGTTTTATTGAGCCAGAATGATGCAGAGAACAAAGGAGATCCGGAGTCCAGGTGCAGAGTGGGATAACCAGGTGAGAGTGCTGGGCTGTGGGCTGCTGTGAGGCACGGAGGGAGACACTGGAAAAAAGGTAGGAGAACGAGGGTTAAACACTCGACGAGCAAAAAACACAATCAAACTTGCAAGATTACTCAAATCACTGGAGGAATAGAGGAGCCGAGATACCACTGCGTTCAGTCGCAAATACTCTGGCACTGAGGCTAGAGTCGGTGGCAGTCTTAAAGCCCGTTGATTGCAGATGACTCTCAGGTGTGCACACTCAGCCTCAGTGCAGGGCGGGGGAGGGGAGAAGCCTCTGGAGACAGGTAAACACAGCAGCACACAACCCACACAGGAAGTAGACTCCGGAAATGTTCATAAAATAAAAGCCAAAAATCCATGCTCACCACAATCCCACCACATCTGGAACTTGAATTTTGTAGACAGCTGTTCTGTAGATAGCTTCTGTTGGCAAGTTAGGGACTAGCTGGTGAACAAAGTGGAACATACATCTGCTAAACAGTCAGGTATTTCCTTCAAGAGTTGGTGGAGACAAAACCAGTGTTTATTTGTGTGTATTGAATGTTTCAGTATTGATCATGCCTTCAATAGCTCCATCTTATTTTGCCTCCACACTGACTCACCAGTCCCTCTGTATGCCCTGCCAGTATTCAGCTGATCAATGTGTACATGGCTCCTTTAATGCATAGCAGTGATAATTAGGCTCTGGGGAATATCATTTTGACCCACTGAATCCAGGCTGTGCTCGAGGCAGCCGCGCACATCGACTTCCTGTTTCCACTGAGGACTTTCACTGTTCAGGTATTAAAGTCTGCTGGATTCTGCTGTCAGTCAGCTGCATGTGAGTGAATGAAAAAACAAGACGCGTAGTGGGGAGGGGAATTTGGTTTGAGAAATACCAGGGGAGGTTACTTGTTGGAGATGAAATACAGTGTTCATAAAAATGTGTGAGTGAAAGCTTGATGATATAATGCATATCCTGTGTGTGTAATATGTGATGTACAACTTTTGGTCTGACCGGCGTCCCTCCTTGTCATCCCTCTCGTTTCCTTCAGGGCTGCAGCATGTTCACTTCAGTGAAGGCCTTCGAGGGGCAGCAGTACTCCACCCTGAAGAGGCAGTGCTTGCAGAGTGGCCTGCTCTTCGAGGACCCCCGCTTCCCCGCTACCGACGACTCGCTCTTTTATCAGGGCAACAGGATCGGACGTGTGATCTGGAAGAGGCCTCGGGTAAGTTGGTTTGTTCAGTAAAAGAGTTTTAATTAATAAAATCAGATAAATATTTTTTAGGTTTTGGGCTGTTGATAGATCTTTATGACCATTATCTGGCCCCAACAGTTCCAAAATACATACAGTCGTTCAGTATGGATGATAGTTCATGGCACAATTATATGGTAGTAAATAGGGATGTTACACAGTACACAGAAGTCACGGTTCAGTTCATACCCCAGTTTAGGAGTCATGGTTCAGTGCAAGGACAGCATAGTGGAAGAAAACAAATGCATAAGGATCTTTTTTTTACAGAGGTTACGCTATAAGCCGCTGAATTTTTACACAGAACCAAACAATGGCGGCATCACCCTGCTCCTGTGTGTGACTTTAGACAGCGTGCCGGCATCACGGAATCAAAAGAGACAGGCAGGGGGTGACATGTAGCACATTAGTGCCGGCCTCTAGTGTGACATACAACAAAGGTGTCAACATCACTTTATAAACAATAACAATGGCATAACATTGCAATCACAATCATTCACCACCCCTCTTATATGGCAGCTGATCTCCTTCTCTGCTCGGAGGGCAAGGAGTTCCCGGATCTAATTGTTTTTCCAATTTGTGGACATTTTTATCCCAGTTTTCTTCTTTGAGTTAGCTGCTAACTGCTACAACCTACTTTTTAAATCTCCTGCAGTGGGTTGCATGCATGACAGATCGTCAACACGTCACACCTGTGCCGCCCATGAACCCGTCCTGCCAGCCGCCCCATTTATATAGACATCGTTTTTTGGCGCTGTTACTACCTCTACACCCGGCTCAGAGGTGGGACAACTCTGTCCCACCGTTCCACAATCGTACCTTATATACAGAACTGTGAGGTGGAATAACAGCACAATATTCCCGTAGTATATTCCCGCAGTATAAAAGGGGCTAAAGACAAACACAGTCCTCTTGCTGGTAACTGAAGTAACGTTTTGTCATAGCTGGCATCTTTGGAAGCTATTCTCATTATAAAAGTAAGGAACATTTCAAACACGTCTGTGTTAAACTAGACGAACACCGAACCAACAGTTTTCCAAAAGACAATAGGTCACAACAGGCTATAAAACTGAAAAGCATCTCTTATGCTATCAAACTGAAAATACATATTACAGTTTGTTTTTTCCTTGTCCTGGTGATCAGCACCTCTGGGTGATGCCACTGAATGTGTGTTAGCATGTTGTAAACCCATTGGTTTACATGTACATATTTACAACAGTGGAGCAACACCAACACACCATCCTCATCTTAGACGCAACTCTCTCTGCCGACCGGTAACCTGCAGATGGGTCTACCAGCTCTGGTGTTTCATTTGTGCAGTTTTCTAGTATTGGAGATCTTTTTGAAGGTCTCGTCCCTGAGTGACATTATTGCTTAGTCTTGTGTCGCTCTCAGACAAAGAAGACTCAGGATTTTATTTCAAAATCTTTCAGATAAATTTCAGGAGTGCCTGTTTTGCATGCTCCACATGTTCCACATGTTATCATAAGTGTGTCGTGTAGTGTGGGACTAGCTCTGCTCTGGTCTTAGTCTTGAATCAGTTTTGCCTTGCGTTGGTTTGGTTTGGTTTTCTCTTGGTCTCAACTTTTCAAAGTGTAGGTCTTGTCTCAGTCTCGATACACTCTGGTCTTGGTCATCACTTGGTTTGGATTATTCCAGAAAATAAGCTCTGTGGCAAACAAACATATATGATACTTACACGTATTGTTCAGGATGATAATCTTCACAAATTAACACCACTTTTATGATTTTAGAAGCTTAAATGCAACTACCAGAAGTAAAAAGCTAACGTTAGGCTATAAACAAACTACACTACGGTGGCATGACTTAATGTCGCCACCACAATGAGGCTGTAAAGCAGTGTTCGGCATGATGATGTTCTCTAGTCTTGTTTAGCCACTTGTGAGCAACTGCCTTTTTTAAGACACATAAAAGTTTCATAATTCACAAGTGGGGTATTTACTGACGTATTTTATGTTGTAGAACAAAACATGAAAGTCTCTTGTTGTAAACACAGACCTTATTTCAGGCATCTAACCAAAAATCCATTCAAAAAAAACCATTTACTTTGAGACGAGGGAACTGGGAGTGCTAAAATGCTAACTCATTTCCAGGTTTTAGGACTCATTCCTGGGATACTCTATTTATAAACTATACTGCATCTGTGCCAGCACAGCTGATGTGTTTTCTAAGCATCCAGGACTAAATGAAAATTGGTGCTAATTTATTTTTATATTTCAGATACAATATATTTTTGATTAATGGGGTATAGTCAGTAAAAGCTGGAATGGAAAATGTGTTTATTAGCTGCATCATCAGTGCCTGCCTAGGATGTGATTATTAAGTAAAGGTTTCATAAATTACTGCAACACTCAGCAAAATGTCTATAAAATGGTGCAAGAGCTGCATAAAAATCATATAAGGATCGACAGTGAACAAAAAAATTACTTCACTCAATGTGTCTCAGGCGGATTAGACTGCTGTCCGAACAGCTCAGTGCAAACGCATCCAAGCAGCATTTAAGATGGATTGAAATCTGATTGCTCAGATCTGTGGAAGGTTTCAAGTAATCCATAAAAGCACTTTATCCATGTGTTGGTCGTGGCATAGTTGTTATCGCTAACTATCCGGTGTTGCAGCTGAACTGCAAAAGTGTAAAAGTTATGCTTCTTCTGCCTGTTTTGGCGGTTACCAAACAGCCTCCGCCACCCTCTTGACTGGAGTTGAGGTCACACCAATGTGCATTTAGCTGGAAAAAATGAAACAGACGAACGTAACATCTTATCTGGATCTTATCCAAATATGAGACACTTAAAATGACAAATTGGATCCCTGACTGCATTAAGAAAATGTAAACACCTGGTCAGTCAGTGAGGTGCTGTTGTCACTTAACCATCTAGCTGAACTCCCAGCAGAAATGTAATAATTTTATGTAACTTGGCATATGTACATGGAGTGTAGTTACTGGACCTTTAAACATTCACATCGGGGAGCTCTCGGAGCCAAAGGTCCCTTCATGAAGAGAGTTTGATGACCTATGACTAAATAAATATACTGTAAATAACAGTATGTCAGCAGTCATCAGTCGTTGCTCTTCTTGTGTAAGCCGGTACTGTATGTATGTTTCAGTGGCAGATGATATCAGATGCAGGGCCTCAGGATTTAGTGAGCTGACTCCCCTGCCACTGTTATCCCCCCTCACACAGCAGGCTGTGGCTCTGGATGGAGTAACCTCCTTCTGCCTGTGTGCCGCTGCAACAGCAGCCAGCGTGCATTGCCATGGAAACTGGGTCACACAGATTATATGTTTTGGTCTGTGCTGATGTCAGTCATGCAGACTGAAAACTGGAAGAAGTCAAGAGGAGAAAAAGCAGGGGGAGCATCCTTTTCATTTTCTGTCAGGACATGATTTGTATCTCCACTGATGGCAGTTTATGTCACGAGGTTAGGAACCCTGAACAGGCACATTTTCTAAAAAGATTTGTATTGATGCTCTTACATGGTAGGGATGCTGTTGATGGCTTGGACTTGAATTCTTAAACTACTTATGTTTGGTGAATTACAAACAACTAAATGAAACTTGCTTTAGTAATTTTGTAAAGGCCATTGTGGAAAGTACATTCTTATATAGAGTAATGTATCTTGTGAGGAGATGAACAGTTAATAAGTTAAAATGGTTCTGAAAATAAGTTTGTGTTCTCTCTGGTATCCAGAAATACACAGATATCGGCATCTATGTTTTTAGGTTTGACCAATACAAAATATAAAAAAATCAGAATTTGAAACGGACAGGATGACTTATTTCAAATGAAATTGACGTGATTAGTGAAATTGCTCAAATTCAACTTTGATTTCAAATTTGACTCACAAATTTCTGCTGTTGGCCGTCTGAACAGTGCTGACCTCCGAAAGAATGCAGGGCTGTGGAGTCTGACATAGAGGAGGCTATCGTAGCTTATGATCTGTGTTGTACCATCAACATTCATTTGACCTCTTTTGTGGAAGTATAGACTGCTCTGCAAAAGATAAGTAGTTTGCAGGTAGCTATAAGATGCTAGTCTTTTAAATAGATTTGTGAACTTATTGTCCTCTTAGCGAACAAGCTAATAACATAATGAGACTTGCAATGATGATGAACTTTTATTGTATATTATGGAATTGTTTGATTTTATGATTTATGGATACATTGCTTTTTTTAGCTGTCTTGTAAGGTGTCCTTGAGTGCTTAGAAAGGTGCCTATAAATAAAATGCATTATTATATTATTATACTGTTGTTATTATTATTAATAATGCAGTTAGCAATCTGGTTAGCGTGAAGAGCTTGTTTCCCCTGTTCACTTAATGTTTCTATTGATTGAAGAGATGAACAGTCCTGAGAACACACTGCCAGAGAGGAGTACAAAACACAGTAGAGAGGAAATAGACAGAAGCTTGGGAGCTGTGATGAGTGACTATTGCTGGTATGTCCTGGCTGGCTAGCATATTAGCAGTTAGCTTGCCACAAACAATAGTTCACCAGCTAGCCCTGCAAGTAGTCACCTAACATCTGGAACCAAATAATATTGTGAGGATGCACAGATGAATTTAACGTTAAGAAAAGCTGAATGGCACTAAGCAAAAGACTCAAACAACAACAACAACAACAACAACAACAAAAATGATAGTTACATTTTACCAGAGGTGGAAGAAATACTCAGATCTTGTAGTGAAAGGGATACTTTGCCGATTTTCAACCAGGTCTGCCTCATCCTGGGGTGGGGAGAGTGTGTAGATGAACGGTGTTAAGGCTTCCCCCATGCTGCCAGCCAAAATCCGCCAAATGACACCAAATGCATCATCAGTGTCATGAAATGATGCGATTCGTGTCATCTGTTGCTCAAGTCTCTTGTTGAAGACATGTTTGGGGAGTTCCTGCTGACACATGGGGAAACCAAAGATTGTTTCTGCACACCGCGGTGACACAGACCTGGTTGGA